TTCTTAACCTGATATGCTCCAACCAGCCGGAAGGTTGAGTTTCCATGGAGGCACCCGCACTTTGTACCATCATGGCGCTGCTTCGACGTGTTCAACAGGCCCTCCAACTTTGACACCAAGTGCGAATCGGTGACACGGGTGATGATGTTGTTAGATCCATCTTGGCCATTTCCCTGAATTACATGGAGCTTCAAGGACTCCTCGTCAGTGATGCGCCAGTGACTCGGAAGATTCAAGAAACAACGGATCTTGCGAGACTTTCCGCTCTGCCGATTCACCTGCACCAACACCTTGAAGTCGACGTCATAGATTCTGTTTTCGATGAGGATCTGGCAACGTTCTACACCTTCGTGAAAGTTGGCCATGAGGCTTTTTTGTGCTTTCTCCTCAGACATGTAGAAAATGCTACGAACAAAAAGACATGTTTCACCCTGTTCCTCCCAATGAAACTTGGGTCAGGAGGAGGTACGTTCGTCACGGGTCGCCTTGGAAAGGAGAACTCAGAAAAACTTGTGAAACAAGCTCAGAAGCCGGGAATGGAGCCCAATCACCAGTGTTGTCCTGATATTGCCAACTTTCTCCATCCCCCTGAGGTAGGAAAGCAAGATGCATCAGGGACTCCTTTTGCATCTGCAAATTGTCGACCTGACACTGGAGGGATGCCACTTGCCCTCTCAGTTGAGCCGCTTCTTTCACCTCGTGATCCTCAAATGCAGGGGAAAATCAGCCTCAGGAGGACACATAGACCTAGCAGTTCTATGGCATATAGCGGCTATGTGGCAACATGAAAACACTACTTGATCCTACACTATACACCACCAAATTCATTTTCAGCCACGCCTGCTGCGACAAGAACTCCTCAAACTGCTGTCGGAGGGATAATATGTGGCGTTTGACCCCAGCACATGACATCACGCCAATCATTCTAAAAGCATCCCTCCAACAACTGTGCAAAGAACAAATAGCCAGCCTGTAGAAACATAAAATAATATACAGTATATAAAATATATATATATATAACACAACTTCCAAGAGGGTGTCCAACAATGTCCAATATAGGTCACCAAGGGTTACCCATTCGTGCTGGTGCGACCGGTGCGAATTGTGTGTGCGTGTTGAATCTGTTGAAATACTACTGAGGTCCGGCCTTCTGTCTCTCCAACTCAATGACCTGCTTTTGGAGAGACAGCACCTGGTCTTGCAAGTGAACTGCTCCTCTGGCTCTTCGCTGCAACTCCAGGTCCGCTTCTTTGGTCCTTTGCTCCAGTTCCTGAGCAACGTTCAAGACAATGCCACTGGATGGATGTCACCCCTTGAAAGTATTTATGTGGGCACGGCGGCATGATCCAGCATGGCTCAAACATAGGTCGACTTCAGCCCAACATGTGGACTACCACTCCTGGGTGGCTAGGTGTTTTTTGTGCCACATCCATGTTCCTTCTGCAGTATATTGGAGATGAAACGCAAACTATATATTTCTCCCCAAGTCACAAACATGACTGACATAGGCCATGGGCCCTTTCCATCCCTTTTCAAAAAGCAACACCTGGAGCCGGTGACCCGGCCGTGCAAATGACCTGCCTGAGGCTGACCAAACCATTCCTTGGGGATGAACATCCCCAAGTGGGTGGTCATCATGAGTAGGTTTTGAATGGTTTTGAATGGTTTTGACCCACCGCCTTGCACAAAGCACAAAAACGTCCGTTTCTACTAGGCTAAGAGCCCAAACATCAAACACATGCACTGACCCAGAGAGCTGCTTTGGTGATCAGGTACCTTGATGGTTCTACGGTCTTGAATCTAACTGTCAGAAGGTAATTTTTGAAGAAGTAACGATTTTTGACATCTATATCTAGCTATATATAATATTACTTAATCTATCAATCGATTACAGTAGTTATTGTTTAGGGAGCGTCTGTATTGAACCATTCCCAACCAGGTCATGTCCTCCATGCCATGGTGCTTGTTTGCGCAGAATGAACTTCACCAGTTGATGCAACAGTCGAAGGAGCAGGCCACACAGGAAGCACACACTCGCGAGCTGCAAATAACTTCCAAGGACTTTCGGTAGAATGATTCTCACAGGGACAATGCACAAGGCAACTGCAGTAGATGCGCCAGTCCGCCCTGAGGAATACAGCTTCAGGGTCTTGAATAGGCTCCAAGACAACAAAGAGACAGCTGCTAACACCTTGGAGACATCCAGAGGCTCCTCTTGACTCATGAATGAGTGGAACTTGCACGACTGGATTCCATGAAGCTGTGCATGCGAGGATCCCATGGTTCCTGCTCATGTCAAGTAACATTCTAGTTAGCACCTAAGTCATCAGTGTCCAAATCTGAAGTTTGACTTTGTGCACATGAAATGAATGCAAATATATGGGCATTTCGGGACATGGATGATCATGGATGCATATGCGGGGTCATGGCAACCCGTACCGAAATGACCAATAGAAAACTGCTTTCAAACCGATGTCCATATCCGAAGACTTAGCTATACGATGCGTAAAGACCGCCTCCTCGCAATGTCAAGTCCCCGATCTGATCTCCATCGAGTTCTCATTTCTGGAGCCAAAATCCGGCCGCGGCCGCGAGGAGCTGAACGGCGGATGGTTCCCACGGTTCCCACGGTTCCCGTGAGTCGCCATTCAAGTGACGATCAAATATGAACTTGAACAATGAACGAACATTGTGCAACCTGCGGTGGGCTATAGTCAAACCAAGGACATTTGACTGAACGAACGGGCGTCGGTTGTGGGAAGTTCACACAAACAGAAGTTTTTCCGAGGGCTCATGTGTTGCCCATCTTGTCCAGTCTCTTTCGGTCTACTACGAATGCAACAGCCTTTGATGATTGCTGCTTAAAACAGAATGCCCCGCTTTCCTTTCAGGCTGGCCTCGGTGTCTCGGTTCCAAGCATTTTGTGTTCAAAACACTCCGCTCATCAACTGCAATCAGTCTGAACCCAACGGTCTGAACCCGGGGACGACATGGCATTGGTGTTGTTCGGTGTTTCCCGAAATGTGAAGACTTCTTGTGGGTGCACTGCCGCTCTCCTTAATTAAATGATGCAAGGCAAAACCGAACTCCCAGTATTTCAAACAAAGCCCTTTTTGATGATTCGGTCGCAGGGGTCGCGAAAAGACCCACCGCGGTTCTACATCTTCTACGACAAGAATCCTCGCCTCAGGTACTGGCGTTGCCAGTGTTCTATCAGGCACCAGTGTTGCCATCCCAAAGAAGACGTACCAACACAGTTGAATGGTCAACTCTCCTTCACCGTCATGACTCTAGACATGGCTACTTCAGGATAATAACATGACACCTGTCTGTACAGCAATCAAAAGCGCTGGGGAGAAAAAGAAACGAAACGTACCCCTCACGTGTTCTCCACATAGTTGCATTCTCACAACTTCGCCCAGCGTCCGCCATTCGAGAAAGCCAGCACAGTCTCATTGCCCTCCTTCTTCAGCCATGCCTTCATTGGGAATCCGCCCATCGTCACGTGCAGCCCAAACTTCTCCTCACTCTCCTGGACAGGATTAATTCTTATGGTCAAAAGATATGACTAAAACATGTCATTACTGCACTTTGCTCATGGGTCACGAGTTTTGGCGTACCTTGCCAAACCTTGCGTCTAAAGGCGATTGTAACGAAAGAATCACCCCTGCATGTGTGTTTGCCTGACCTTTTCTTGGGGGTTCTAGGGCCGCTCTTCCGAACGATGGCATTTGTGAAGGACCCAGGACACGCACCCACAACAAATACGGACTGTCTGAACTCGCCACCACCTGAACCCTTTCCCTTGGCACAAGTGCCAGGGTGTATAGGTAGATCTCCTGAACAATGCAGCAATCCTGAGATCTAGAGCATATGCAAAAACAACATCAGTAATTACGGGTTCTTGGAGCAAACCACGTTGAACGAAGGAAGAACAATACAAACAAATGCGCAACACCTTCAACACAACAAATCCTAATTCGATTGAATTGGGTTCAAGCACCCCAAAATCTACAGTACACAATATCAATTGCAGGGATGTCAACCTCTATAGGTTGTCTAGCTCGTCGACCGCGAACGCGGTAAGAACGTCTCTGCCACGATGCCTCGATCTCTGCCATCAACGGCTCGTTCCCAAAGGGCTTCTGGACAGAGGTCACGCTGGAACCACTGACTTGGAGGTCAATGGGCTCGGCGACCCCAGTAATCTTCCACTTTCCAACAATGGCCGCCTGCAAAGATTTGAAACACACAGCGGTCCTGCATTGTTTGAGAAGCTGTAATTGATGAGTCATGTTGACCAATTGAATGCCGCCAATTTAAGGATCCCCGCTGCTACCGGCAAGTGAGGTTGGTCCCCTCATTTTATCCAGAAATTCAAAGGTCTGCACAACTCATAGTGAACAAAAGAAAACTTATGACTCGCTTGCAAAAAAAGAAGGGCCTAATTTGACTCGTTTGCACATCTGTCGCTGCCAACCAACTTTACTTAAAATCCATTTTAGATAAGCCTTAAACTCAATGAGTAGTCAAAAAGATTTTTTTTTTTTTTCCGTGGTCGGCCACACTCATTTTGGCAAGCCGGGGATATTTAAGGTACAGCAAGTTTTCAGGTCCTTCCAAGCTAATGTAAGCTTGTGGGGCTCCCACAAAAGCTGTTGCAGGCTCCCACAAAAGCTGTTGCAGGCTTGAGCAAGCCATGAGCTGTGGCAGTCAGCTTGGGTCGCCGCAATGTCCTCCCTAAGCAATTTCTATGGATTAGTTTTGCCTATGGGTGTTTGCCCCTCACCTTGCCATCGCTCTTAGACATGGCTTCCGAAGGGATCACCGTGCCCAGCTTGGCGCCGCCCTTGCTCACGGTCGTCAACTTCACATCGGTGTCGCCCATGGTTTTTTGCCCGTGCGGTGCGGTGTCAATTCTGCGCACGACTCTTGAGCGGTCAAACGCTGCGAAAGGTCACCTATGGGAGTAGCGACCGAAACTAACGGTTTTTGAGACCCAACAAGTCTAGGGGTGCCCTAAATGGACCAGTGTATAGCAAATAAATTCAAATAATATTGGTGGGGACACGGTTTCAATTCCAAGATATGGATGTGCCTCAAGACTCAAACAAGGATTAAAAAAGGTGCCATCCAACTCCACCGGCTCTTAATGTAAAGGAAGCAAATAACGCAAACCTGCGGGTTCCGCGGGTGACGGTCCACAGCGTCTAGGTCAAAGAGTGTCCATGGAGGCTCGTTGGGGGCCGTTGGGCGTTTCATAGCATGAAATTGGCTTCTTCAGCAAGTGACATCAGCCATGTTCGTCTCAAGCATTTGCGGCTCCAACATTCGGAAGATGGTCAGCTGTGCACTTGCATGAACTTCACATCACAAATCAGCTCTTCACCGACCGGTCACCTGGCAAAAATGGGGGATCTCTTCAAAATCAATCAAACACAATTGCACAAAACAGGAACACCAACCCCTTGAACTTCTCTGGCAAAAAACAGGGCATGTTCACTCATGTTCACCCCCAAAAATCCAGAGTTGGTTGTCATCAGCTGGACAGTTCTCCCCGCTGTCGGAGATCCAGCCGGATGGTGGGTCCCACAGAAGTCCCATCTTACAGAAGTCCCATCTGCGCTCCCAACTCGAAAGCCAAGCCTGAAGGACTGGGCCGGCGTACCTGGCACGACAACTGTTTGATTGGAGTTGGTGGAGTCCTCTTGGGGGGGGGGTTGAGGGGACTTCTGTCGCACATTCTTTCCATGATTTCCCGCTGATGTCTTTTTGTTGAACATAGGATTGAACTTCCGGCTCGTTCAGCAAATCTCTGGGCTTTGAACACCCTCTCCCCGAGGCTCCAATCTCGGAACAAGGGGGTGTCCAATTGTTTCACTGTCAAGGGTGTGCTAGCTGGACACCCGTTTGGCTGGTGACTCTGGTTTGAAGTGTGGAAGGACAAATGAGCCACCTGCCCAGCGTCAACTTATCCTGTGCCTCTCTATACATCACTCACATACATGAAATGGTTGAACACGCAAGAAACAAAATCAAGAACAATTCCTCAAAAAAAAACATGAAAGCTATGAACCATTGGAGAACTCCCTGGAAAATAGCACCGTTTGAGCTGGGATCTTCCAGCCCAAGGTGACTAGATGCGTGTATGGCTTGTCCTGTCTCTCACCGCTTTCACCCAACGGCATCGACTTCTTTCGGCCTGATCTCTGATGCTCTTCTCATCGATGCACGCCTGGCTGCGGCGTCCTGTGCCCGGGTGTCCTGTGCCAGCTGAGACGATGATTCTCGAGACGGGAGCGCCGAAACCTCAAGCACATCACAGGGATAGGGGTCGAATACTCTACAATCAGAATAGGATCAGGATCCCTCACGTCATCATATTGAAAAACAAATGGACAATGAAAAAGCAGCGATGCCTTTTGCTCATGAAATGGGCGCGGCAATGCGCAAGATACAAAATATTTCTACGATTAAACCTCTCCTCTGGTACTGGCCCATGCGGCCAGAGCTCTATCAGGCATCCTTGGTACTATCCCCAAATAGATGCAAGTCACGTTGCTTGGAAGAACACATCTTATCTTTCTGATACCACAAAACACTAATGAGTCTCAAAGGATAATAACAGGACACCTGCCTGTACAGCAGTCAAAAGCGCTGGGAGAAATGGAAACAAACGAACCCCTCACGTGTTCTGCACATAGTTGCGTTCTCACAGCTTTGACCATCGCCCACCATTCGAGAAAGCCAGCACTGTATCCTTGCCCTCCTTCTTCAGCCATGCCTTCATTGGGAACCCCCCCAAAGTAACGTGGAGCCCGAACTTCTCCTCACTCTCCTCGACAGGATTTGCAGGTACCTACTGTTGGAGAAACTCCTGCTACTTCTGAGATAGAGAACACATGAGCAAGCAACGTCATATACAGTAACTATACAATACTATACAGTACAGTTTATTTGGGGTTATCCAATGATCTCAAAAGAGACTCCTCGATCTCCGCCATCAAGGGCTCATTCCCAAAGGGCTTCTGCACCGAGGTCACACTTGAACCACTGACGGCAAGGTCAACGGGCTGTGCAACCCCGGCAATCTTCCACTTGCCCGCAATAGCGTCCTACGGAAGGCTGGGTTTGACTGCACAGCAGTTGAAGGCCAACAGGAGTTGCAAGCATACAGTTCAGCTGTCACAAACTTCTGTTTAGCTTGGGCAAAGCCACGGCCAAAACCTTATATAACACAAATTGAATCCTAAAAATCAACCGACAATTTCTCCAAAGACTCTGCAACTCTCTACAATCAAACATCCTCTCAATATGTCTCAATACTTAGGACTGGTTTTACAAGTTGTGCCCCTCACCTTGCCATCGCTCTTCGACATGGCTTCCTGAGGGATCACCGTGCCCAGCTTGGCACCGCCCTTGCTCACGGTCGTCAACTTCACATCGGTGTCGCCCATGTTGGTGCCGTGCGACGTGGGGAGAGAGAACGGACGACTCTTGAGCGGTCAAATTCTGCGAGAATGAAAGGGAAGGAGTCGCTGATGGTTTGGCACCTGTAGATCCTAATTATTGTTGATTTAACATAGAATATTATAGATTTTAATCAGTGACACCTGAATAAAGAACAAAAGGTTCCTAATCTTCACACCTGGGCAGCTGGATATGCAAGTCATGGCTTTGGCTGCTGAAGGATTGCAAAAACAGGATTACAAAACACGTACCCTGGAACTCCCACTACCTACTGAGAAGGTGCTTGGGGTGGGTTTGTAACTGAAAAGGTAGTTGTGTAGGGGATCCCTGGGATATTTTACGGTGCAAAACAAGAACCACCTTTCCTGAATCTGCTGCACTTGTTCTGAGAGACATCTTTTGCCTTTCAGAGTTTCAGAGGTTTTGTCAAAGGTCTTTTCTGCAGCTGGCTCATTGGCCTGAGAGTCTTGATTTTAACAAACACATTTCCCAGATTTCCATTGACTGTAGAGCCATCGTCCCATGAACCGCGACGAACTCTATGTGTGTGGCGCTTGTAGCTAGTTGGTCGTGTTCGCCCTGTTGGTCCTGTTGGTCGGACTTCTTCACATGCTTGGCTAGACTACTCCGTCTGATCAGGGAAAATAATCTCAGGCGGATAGAAGGTCTTTTGGACATCGCGTCCTTCCTAAGATATCCAGGGTATCCCATATCGCCCATATGAACATGGAACATGCAAGTTATACACATTCATTTGCCGACCTTGCGCTGGTGGCCGTTTGAATGGCTACTAGTTCTCACGTATCATTCTCAGATAACTTCTCCCAATTTATTGCCTTCCAGCTATGAGCACGACGTCAAAGCCCATGAGCCCATGCAACAAACCTCATCTTATCATTCCAAGCGGTCATTGTCATAGGCCTCACGGCTGTGATGGATCTCCAAAAATATTCCATCTCAACTAAGTTGGTCCATACAGATCTGCTCTGGCCACACAGGAGGTCGACTCCGGCCTCATGGTTGGAGGTTGTCCAGGGGGGCAGCCGCCGCCCTGTGGTCGCCTGGGATGAATCGAAATGTTCAGCTCTCGAGACCTTCTAATCATGGGCATCACCCCAAGTTATGTAGCTTCTATGAGTCTCTGCAGTAGAATGATGAGTGTCTTCTTCCTCCCTTAGGCTACTTACAGTTTTTGACATGAAGAGATGTTTTGCAGAATCAAGTCGCATCTCCTCCCAATATCACGCACCTTTAGAACTAGATCTGATCTATCCAATATGTCCGTGCTTGGAAAACAACAACGCCCTCTACAAGGTTGCGGGCCAGGTGGATGCCTTCTTCCTTTGGAACCATGGTCCACAACATCTCTCCATTCTCCCTCTCGCACATCACGACAGGTGTTGCTGTACCGGTCATTTCGTTTCAGCGGAAGTTTCCTTACTTGCTAGAGAATGTATATAATTTGCTTGCTATCTTCAAGATTTGGTGCTCTTCCCGACCAAACAATACCAAACAAGACAGTCTTTTAAGCTGCTTTTCCCCAAAAGAACCTGTCAGTTTCGATCCTTCGTCTCCGCGATCCGCTGGCCGAGGGCTGCATGGCACCCCAAAAATCACCGGATATCAATATGAATCAACAACATGTGAGAATAATAGCATCATATGAACAGCATTTATTTACCTGAACATGCTGGTTGTAAACATTGATTAGACCCGGGGAAGTTGTACAAACGCAATATCACACTGGCCCATGATGAACCCAAGTAGGGCGATGCTCCGCTATTCATGTACATGCATGTACATGCATGTACATGCAGTACTTTTGTTGGTGCGCAACTTGGTTTTGAGCCACAGCACATAAGATGCATGGGGCGTGACATGTTGTGAATGTGAATGTCCAAGACAATCTGCAGCTGCAGGCTGGGAGAAGCTCGAATAACTTTGATACTTGTACCACAGCTCCTACAAAAATCCATCCACACACTCAGTTCCCGCCAAGCGGTTGTCAATCTCACCAAATCCCACACACCAGTTCCAAAAGAAATGGTTCTTGGAGGGTTATCGGTGTCACTATCGGTGTCCATTCTGGAACCCGCACACACAGTTGCACCGGTAAAGACTCCTTTTCTTCCTCCGGCACACCGCAAAGTCTGTGTCCCTTTGTACACGACTGCAGGTCCGTAACTCTATCATGGTTTATCCATCTTTGTTGGATACTTGACAACTAAACTGGCTTAAGACAATGTTTGCATTACGTGGCAAATCTGGTACCTTGTAATGCTTTCTAACCATCGTTGTAATCTAGTGAAACTCTCCTTTCAAACCAAAGGCGACCTCCGCAATCCGCTCATCCATCATCGCAGGACCCGCAGGAAGCCTTGGGTGATGCATAGCTGCTTCAAAGGTGGTCCGGATCCCAGAAACTCAGAATAGTAGTAAGGCACTTGTTACTACTAGCGTGGCACTTGTTTCTAGTAGCTTCTTGTTACTACTAGTAAGGCACTTGTTACTACTAGCGTGGCACTTGTTTCTAGTAGCTTCTTGTTACTACTAGTAAGGCACTTGTTACTACTAGCGTGGCACTTGTTTCTAGTAGCTTCTTGTTACTACTAGTAAGGCACTTGTTACTACTAGCGTGGCACTTGTTTCTAGTAGCTTCTTGTTACTACTAGTAAGGCACCTGTTACTACTAGTAAGGCACCTGTTACTGCTAGTAAGGCACTAGTAGTGACAACTCAGAAGGTGGAGACCCCGTGGAAAATTTCCCACGTTGAATTCCAATCACATGTTGAAGATCCGGTCTATTGGATTATAGTTGATCTGGAAAATTGCACATCCGTTCGACTTTCGACTCCAGCGCTTTGAACGCACAGCGCAAAAAAACGCACGTCGCGCCTCGATCGAAGTCGTGCTTCAAGTCGCCTGGAGCGGCTCCTGCGGATCATAACCGGTCAGATGTTTTCTTCAGGGCCACGGCACCAAATGGACAACTTTTGGCTGGTGGTTTCCACTCACTAGGTTTTCCACATGTTTGCCAATGTTTGTTACACGATTTCCAACATGATATGACCATATTTTGATCCTTCAATCCATTCACCCGATGCAATGACTGCGCCTCCCTGCATGAGTGCGACATCACACAGCGACGAACGATCGACTGGCCCACCTAGGTGGAGAGCTTCTCGCATCGTCTTGGCTGCCTGGCGGAAACTGGTGAAAGCGTTGCTGGTGGATCTGGGCCGAGACCCGATTAAAACGAGTTCATGTCGATTGCATCAGTATTACAGCAGTTATATATAGATGCAAATAGAATGTCTTTTTTGTGAGCAGTTGATGACAGAACCAGGTTGCAGTTTTTCATTTTGTGTCTGCAAAAGGACCAAAAGGACTACCTCCGGAAAACGGCATGCCCATCTCAAAAGAAAAGACAGGTCGACTGCTCCTGGTGAGCAGTTTTGTTCAGAACATCATCAATGAAGCAGGGAGGGGCGAACTCTTCAGTGAAAAAGTTCTTGGGGGCACTGGAGATCATGCAAAGCATGGAGTGGATAGAATCGGATAGAACCAAACTCCTGTAAACTGCTGACCACATAGTATATCTACTTCTGAACGGTTGCAACACACAGGTGCCGCCCCTTCAACCCAAACGAATGTCACTAGATGCCACTCCTTCGCCTTCTCCTTTGTGGCTTTCCGGATGTCTTCCATGTTCGCACACCGTTTTGCTGTTTGTCTTACACCCAGTTGGACAGCGGCCCAGACGATGGCGGATGGCACCTTTTCTTCATTTTGTTGAAGGCAGTCTGGCTTGATAATCGTTCAAAAGACTGAGACCAGCATGGCACGTCAATTCAAGACACGTCTCCAACACCAGAATAGCTGGCTTGCTAGCAGTGAAGAATTCGAGTCTAGAGTCTAGAGCTGTGCCCAATTGACGATACCCTCGAGGGCAGTCAATGAATTCCGGGTGCCATATTGTATGGGCACGCTTCAAACCAGGAATGATGTCAGGGTGTTGCTGCAACAATTTCCGAGCACCTTGCAGCAACCAAACACGGAACTGTAACTGGGAGGCCCCGCGGAGGAGAACGAGTGGCTCTGAAACAACATGCAAATGGTTTCATACGCATTGTATTGGCAGTAATTTGCATCACTGGGAAGTCATTCGCGTACATAGGATGACAGCTCCCGATGTTTCGTCACAAAGCAGCTCCCTGCGCTCCACACGCGGGTGACCGCATGGGTCCACGGCACCGCTCGTTGACCTCTTCCGCAGCTGGACGAATTGCCACGAGCCTCCCAGCCCCATGTAGGTCTGCTTACGGCGACAGGTGCAGCCGGTGCAGCGAAGTGAATTCCATGCAACGTCCGAGCTTTCACCAAGCCTTGGTGTTTGCGGTTTGGGTGGTACACCAGATGCTGCGACCAGGGAGCAGCAATGGACCACAAAGCCAGAGGGATTGCTTAGATGGAATGTCTCCAGAAAAGCATATGGCCCACACAAACACACTTTGAGCAGATTCACTGCAATAGGTTTGGCATCTGAGATTCAAACAGCCAATGACTCTCAGCGCTGTCAAAAAACTAAGCTGATCAACTCTCGTCTTGGAGCATGAATCATCCAAGGTACAATCGTGTGCTGATTATGTGAGGTTATGAGCAGGCAGGGGCAGCATGTCGCAGCGGCCCGGCAGGAACACCTGGTGAATAATCATATACATGATATCATATATGATATATATATATATAAGTATGAATCTGAACATATCATGAGTTCGAAATAGAATGCGGAAAAGACACACGCACCTTCCATGTGGAATTGGACCTCCAACGGTCCCCAGCCACGGTCCCAACGGTCCCCAACGCAACGCAACGGACGCCCCACGCTCGGTCCGAGGAACGTCGATGGTTCCGACGTCGGAGCCCGGCGGAGCGTAGATCCAGCATTCGTTGCCGGTCCTTGGATTTGAGAAGAACCGGGTGCCGCGGTGAACCGTTTTGGCGGTGATTTGGGGAGTGGAACTTTGTGGCTATAGTGGATGATGCACGGGTTTTAGGTGTTTGGGAATGTGTTGGAGGGAGGTTGACTTTTATCAGGTATGTCAGTTGCCACTTTGAACTGGCATTAGAAAGGCGCTGTTCCTTTATCTATAATGTGCTTCGATGGAGGTCTCCACTACAACATGTAATTCTCAGGCGGGTCCGGATTGGTCATCACCAGTTATATTTTACTTTTGGATGCTGACCGGGGACC